CCCGGAGCGGCTCCACCTCCCCTCCCCCTTCCCACAACCCCTCCCTACCCATCTTGAGACCCTCCAGCCTAGCAGAGGCCCCACCTCGGAGTTCCTGACCTGATGGGAGTCCACCCCCTCCCCCGCCTCAGCTAGGGCCCCCCCCGCCCCCAGTTTCACCCAGAGACCGCACTCTGCCCCGTGAGGGTCCTTCCACCTGGGGCTGAGACGGAGGACACCAGGCAGTGTTTGAGGAGCCCCCTTCTGTGGAGACCTTCCAGTGGTTATGTTGGGTGAAAAGAAGGAAAACGGCTGTGAAGAAGCCAGTCGGCTGTCCAGTGCCAAGCCCTGTGCCGAGCCCTGACTGCCCTGCACTCCTGAGGCCCTGGGCCCTGACCACCCTCCACCCTGAGGCCCTGGGCCCTGACCATCCTCCACCCTGAGGCCCTGAGCCCTGACCCCCCTCCACCCTGAGGCCCTGAGCCCTAACTGCCCCCACCCTTAACTGCCCTCCACTCTGAGGCCCTGGGCCCTGATCACTCACCCTGAGGCCCTGAGCCCTGAATATCCTCCACCCTGAGGCCCTGAGCCCTGACCATCTTTAACCCTGAGGCCCTGGACCCTGACACCCTTCCATCCTGAGGCCCTGAGCCCTGACCCCCCTCCACCCTGAGGCCCTGGTCCCCAGCCTGGCTGGGCCCCAGAGCAGTGAGCAGGGCAGCAGGGCGGAGTGAGCAGGTCCCCTCAGGTGACCATCAGGTAATGCCTGGTCCTGGGCACCCTGCACCCACTGTGCTTGGCCAGTGGCCCCTCCACTCAGCACTCCCAGGGGCCTGGGCTGACCCCGGCTGCCCTAACCGTGTTCGTGTATGGCACCTGAGGGCTCAGGTCAGGCAAGTGTCTACCAAGGGCAGCAGATACTGGGGCACCTGGCCCGAGGCCACAGGGACAAGCAGCCTCCCGCAGAGCCTGGCATGTGGGGGTTTGAATGCTCTCATCTCCCTGTTTAATGATTTCCTCAGCAAACACATCCTCAGAATTGCTCAAGGCTGAGGTCACTGTTCAGCTCGGCTTCCCAGGAGCCTGTGAAGACATTTGAAAAAGGGTCCACTGAAAACAGCACGGGCTGCGCTGCCAGCAACTTGGTAGGTGGGAGGGCAACTTCCAAAAAGGCCTCCAGTCAGAAAACAAAATGGTAAAAAGACGTCTCCTTTGGGGGCCTGGTCCGTGACAGATGCACCTTTGAAATCCTGGGCCAGGTGTCTGTCCATCTGGGGCCAGATGAGCGCTGAATTCTCCAAGAGAAGGTGGGGTTAGGACGCTGCACCCGTCCCTGGCGGAATTCCAGGTGGAGCTGGGAAAAGCATTGCTCCCACCCACAAGAAAAAAGCTACAACAACTGCATGTCAACAGCGCGTGACCAGTCCAGGAGCCCGGAACCAACCTGGAAGAGGCAGGTTCCTCTGCGGGTGGGACTCTGGGCAGGTGCCAGGCCAGGACACCATGTCAGCTGGTGAGAAATGTGAGCTGGGGATGGTCAGCAGACTGCGGCCTGGGGTGGCTGCTGGGCGGGGTGGAGATGGGGAATCCCCCCAGGCTCTTCCCACAGTACTGGCTAAGCGGGGGCACCCTCCAGGACCACGGAGCCCAGGGAGGCCTGGGGTACCGGGATGTGGGTACACGTGCCGTGCGCAGCGCACCTGGAGGAGGGGCTGGAGAACTCTGAGCAACCTGAGCCCAGGCCCACGGCAGAGGATGTCCCTCTGGGCTCTGCAGTGGGCAAGACCAGGAGAGCTGGGAGGGACAGGTCTCTCTCCAACCCCTCGGGAGGTGAAGCCCCAGGGCCAGGCAGAGATAAGCACAGCTGTGTCTGGAGCAGCCTGAGGGTGGCCGTGGCCACAGCAGACATCAAGCCAGGGGACTCCAGCGGGGCTGGGCTCAGCCCCATGGTAAAGGCAGGCAGAGGGTGGGGGCTGTTATGGGCTGAGTGGTGTCCCCCAGATCCATGCATCAAAGCCCTAATGGCCAGGACCCCAGAAGGTGACTGTATTTGGAGACAGCTTTTAAAGAGGTGATTAAGGTAAAATTCATTCCTTAGGGCAGGCCCTGATCCAGCCTGCCTGGGGTCCTTCTAAGGGGAAGGGAGGACACAGACACACGGAGGGACCACCCTGCGAGGACCCAGGGAAGAGACGCCGCCCACAAGCCAAGGAGAGGCCTTGGGAGGAACCAGGCCTGCCACACCGGGACCTGGGACGTCCAGCCTCCAGGACAGAGAGAAATAACGGTCTGCTGTGGAAGCCGCAGCAGAAAACTCGAAAACTTGAACAGGCTGCTCTGCTGCCGGCATGAGAGACGTTTTCCTGCAAGGCTGGGCAACTCCCGCACTGCTGGTGGACGGAAAATGGGGTGGCCTTCATGTGCCTGGTTTATCCCAGAGAGGGGAGGACCTGGGTACGCGCAAGCATGCAGCCTGTGTGGCAGCGTCCACCGCGGAAATGTCAGGACCGTGACGGCTGGAAAGGACCCGGAGTGCCGCCCTGGTAATGGGGTGACAGACGGGAGCATCTGAGGCAGGAGGCGGGGCTCAGATACTGGACCACATGGAGGACTGGCTAACACAGGGCGGGGCAGAGGCAGCTTTCCATGAGACACGCCCTCCAGTGTGCCATGTCAGTTAACGGTTGCCATGGCAATACCTGGGTGCTACTGCCCCTTTCCATGGCAACCATCCCACCACCCAAGAGTTACTACTCCTTCCCTAGAAGGAGCGCCCACCCCACGCAAGGACTGTGCCAGGGCGGGGTCCGAGATGTGTGGGGCTGTCTGTGGCCTTGAGGGCCTCGTGGGCACAGTGCAGACTTGGACATGTGTGGCAGGGCCAGGTGCTCAGAGCTGAGGATGGGTCCAGGAAATGCTGACACCAGCTAAGCTCCTGCTGTGAGACCCCTGACCCCCACCCTTTCTGATGGCATCACCCTCAGGGACAGCCTGCAAGTTCAGCGACGATGTCTCCATTTCACAGATGAAAAGGCTGAGGCTTGGTGCCAAGGGCTTCCCACATATCTGGGAGTGAGCGCTGTCCTCAGACCAAGCCACTCTGGGTCCCTGGGAACTCGCTGCATCCTGTGGGTCAAGGGTTTCCCTGTGAGTCCCCGGCCCAGATCCCCTTAGAGCCAGACTCAAACAGCAGCTTGGCACCAACACCTCCCCTGACTGCACAAAGAGAACGGCCGCTGTCCCAGAACCCACCCACCTCAATGCCCTGCACTGCTGCACACCCAGCCCTGCAGGTGGCAGCGCCAGACACAACAGACACCTCCTCACACACCTCCAGGTCCCCAGCATGGCGCAGCCTCCAAGCACCTGACCTCTGTGCCAGCTTCCGGTCCACCTGGCCCAGGCCCACTCACCTGGACTCACACCCCAGGCCTCCCGTCTGCAGGCCCAGATCCTTCCACAACCCTCCCAGCTAAGGACACACCCCAGGCCTTGCAGGGCCTACTGGTCTCCACCCGCACCCACAAAGGTCTCTGCATCTCTGCCCGGCAGCCTCCTTCCCGCAGCTCCACCTCTGCCTCGGGACACTTGCCCAGTGTCCCCTCTGTCCTTCCACTCTCCCCTGGGTCTCCACACCCCCAGTGTCACCTCAACACCCCCTCGCGGACCTGCTGTCCAGCTACATCCCCACCATCAGCATCACCATTACGCCACTGTGTGGGTCTCTCCCTTGGGTCTCTGCCCCGGCCGCCCCCAGGGCCTCTTCCTTGAGAGCAGGGCAGGTTCTGTGTGTTTCTTCCCCATGGTCTATCCCCAGCACCAAGCGCAGCACCTGCCACACAGCAGGTGCTTCCCAAACAGAGTGGGGCGGAGTTTACACCGTTTGACTCCTCAGGCCACCTCTTTCCATTGCACACAGAAGGGGAGGAGTTGTTGTCACCCAGGCAGTCAGGGGAGGCTTCCTGGAAGAGGTGATCGGGGAACTGGGCTTTGAAGGATGAGGATGCCCACACCTCACCAGGCAGCAAAGCCCGGAGGTAGCAATGCAGCCTGCAAGCTGTGCCAGGGTGAATGCCGGTGGAACGTTAGAGTCAGCTCCAGCCAGGGGTGGGGCAGGAGGGAGAGAGGAGAAAAGAAGGAGGAGGTATCAGGAAGGGCCAGTGGGGGCCTCCACACCCAGCCACAGAGCGTGGGGCTGTCCCGTGAACATGGGCATTGTCAGGGTGACTAAGAGATGACCAGCGCGGTGGTATCGGGGAAGCCCAAGGCCGAGACTTAGGGGAACCTGGGGCCCTGAACACACAGCTGCAGCACGTCTGGGGCAGATCCATGGGACCGTATGGGCCGGGGCAGACACCGGGCGCCGGGTCAGGCAGTGACCTCTGACAGTGCGTCCCCACGGCTCATGCGCTCATGGTTCAGTGCTTTGAGGGACGTCGGGTGATGCTGTGGGGGCAGGAGCAGGGAAGTGGACCCGAGTCCCACCCGGGCGTGTGGCGAGCCTCCGCGTGCATTCTTCCGGAAGCTTCCCCAAGGTGTCCGTACATGTTTTTCTGTGGAAGTTCTCATCCTCTGCACCTCAGCGGCTGACTGGGGCCCATGCTGCAGCCTGGGGAGGTGCGACCCCCAAGGACCCCCAAGGACGAGCCGGCCAGACGGTCCCGAGGGCCACAACTGGAGGAGGGTCTTCTGGGCTTGGGCTGGGGACAAAGCCTCTTTGTGCCTTCCTGGCCGAGGCCCCATGGAGGACAGAGCTCCTTTCAAGGCCGCCCTGATCCTCCACAGTGAAGGCTGACTGGGCTTTGGGGATCCTGGGGCAACACCCTGTGGTCGACACCACAGACTGATTCGAAACAGCTGGCAAAGGCGCCAGGGCCCTGCGTCGTAGGGGGTGGTTTTGGCCTTTTCTAATCCGGGCTCTGACTCAGTTACCAACAGAGTGAGCCCAGAGCCTCCCAGGGGGCTGGTTAACCCCCCAACCCCAAAACAAGGGCCCAGAGCCTCCCAGGGGGCTGGTTAACCCCCCAACCCCAAAACAAGGGCCCAGAGCCTCCCAGGGGGCTGGTTAACCCCCCAACCCGATACAAGGGCCCAGAGCCTCCTGGGGGCTGGTTAACCCCCCAACCCGATTTACAAGGGCCCAGAGCCTCCTGGGGGCTGGTTAACCCCCCAACCCGATACAAGGGCCCAGAGCCTCCTGGGGGCTGGTTAACCCCCCAACCCCAAAACAAGGGCCCAGAGCCTCCCAGGGGGCTGGTTAACACCCCCCCAACCCTGATACAAGGGCCCAGAGCCTCCTGGGGGGCTGGTTAACACCCCCAACCTGATACAAGGGCCCAGAGCCTCCCAGGGCTGGTTAACACCCCCCAACCCTGATACAAGGGCCCAGAGCCTCCCGGGGCTTTGCCAACTCCATGTGAAGACGACTTCAAGGCAGGGGCCACGTGGGATGAGCCCGCATGGCAGGGGAGTGGCAGCCAAGGCTGAGACACAGACAAGCGCAGGGTCCAAGGAGACAGCGGTTCAGCCAGGCCCCTCAGAGGGCAGATGAGGGCCACAGCACAGCCCACAGGGACCACAGCCCACGGAACCTCAGCCCACAGAACCTCAGCCCACGGAACCACAGCCCACAGAACCACAGCCCACAGAACCACATCCCATGGAGGGACCACAGCCCACTGGGACCACTGCCATGGAGCAAGGTTGGTGTCAGACAGCCAGGTGGAACCAGGTTGTGGACACGCCCGATGCACCGTGCACCTTGCTCCTGGGATGCAGGCACAGCAGTCTCAACCCTCACGGGGGCCCAGCCTGGAGTCTGCTGCTCACTGAGGCTGCTCGGGAATCCCAGGGTGGGAAAGTGGGGCCGGGCAGTGGAGGGAAGCACCTACTCCTGAGGATGGGGTGTTGCCGCCTTTAGTGGGGTTGGGGAGAGGAAGCTCTCCCGGGAACCACTGGCTCCCACCCTCTGCACTCTGCCCACGGCTCAGGCCTCCCACAAGCGTGGGCACCAGTGTCCTGCACATAAGGGGGGTGTGCGGGTTTTCCCACCGGAACAGGCCAGTGGGACTTGCTGGGGTGTAGGTGGCTGGGCCACAGGTGTGGATGGGTGTCGTGGGCGATGGGGGAGGCTGGGGTGGGAAGGACGTGCCCACCTGCCATGCTGGGCCCCGGCTTCTCAGGGCTGTCCCGCTGGGCAGGGGTCCCCCACCCGCAGGGCACCCACTCCTCCCGGCACGGCTCCTCCTTGGGGTCTTCCCTGCACCCCGGCCTCGAGGCCCCTCCGCACAGGCTCCTTTCAGCCCCGTCTCCCACGACTGTTCATCCCCCAGGAGCCCCACGTGATCCGTCCCCTGCCCTACTGGCACCGACTCTCCTTGATCCACTGGGATGTGAGTGAGCCCGAAGTGGGGGCATGGGGACGGGAATCGGGTGCTATGGCGCCCATGGTGGCTGGGGATCCACTTTAAGATGGTGCAGGTGAAGAGGCCTCAGGCTGAGTCTGGGTGGCAGTTGAAATGGGACCTGCCGGCCTGAAGTATTGAGGGGGTCCTTCCCCTCTTCAGGCCCACACTCCATGGGACACACGGCCACACTGCGGATGGGCATTGCCCTCTACACTCAGCCCCACCCAGCGGCCACTTCTGTCCACATCCTGCTGGCCAGAGGCCCGGGCGTCAGACACCCCCAGACCACCTGCCCCATGTTTGAGCAGACCCCACCTTCTGCCCTGGGGATTCCTGGCTGGGTGGTCAACAAGGGGAGTCTGGGGGTTCAGCACCCAACTCTGCTCAGCCAACATCCCCCTCGGGACTTACCTTGCCCCTGGGGGCCTCGGACACTGGGAGCACGGTGGACAGTTCACACTGAGCTCTCGCCTAGACGGTCCCAACCCAGACACAAATGCAGGAACTCTTCCTCCTCCAGCGTCCACGGTCACCCAGGATGCACCACGGCATCCAGACCCAGCTTCCTGACCCAGCCCTGCCCCTTCCTAGCTCAGGCCAGGGCCCAGGAGACCCCTCCACATCCCTCACCCCACCCTACCCCGTCACCTCCCTTCCACCCCCACCCCCTCACCTGCCTCCTGCCCCCCTCACCTCCCTCCCACCCCCATCCCCTCACCTCCCTTCCGCCCCCACCCCCTCACCTCCCTCTCACCCCCTCCCCTCCCTCCCACTCTCTCCCTCCTACTCCTCTGCACCCCTCATGTCTGGCTCCCTGGGAGGGTGACTCTGTCCTTAGTGTCCTGTCCGCCTCCACTGATGTCTGTTGACTGCCATTCACTCAAGGCTCAGCCTTTTCAGCCCCCCGGGCAGGACGGTGCCTCCTCCCGTCACTGCCGGAACTCCCCAGGCTGAGTGCATGGGTTTCTCACCTGGAGTTGCTGATGTCCGCTCACTGCCATTCACTCAAGGCTCAGCCTTCTCAGCTCCCTGGGCAGGACGGTGCCTCCTCCCGTCACTGCCGGAACTCCCCAGGCTGAGTGCATGGGTTTCTCACTTGGAGCTGCTGAGCTCCTCAGAGCAGGCTCAGCTCATGGTGAGTGCCGGGGGGTGGGGAGGCTGAAAGAAGAAACTATAGGTGAGACACCGGCAGGTCAGGAGGGAGGAGGGGTGGGCGGGGGAGGTGCCTTTAGGATGAGCCCAGCGAGGGAGGCCCAGGGGAGACAGTGCAGATCCCAGGAGCCCACACCCGCTGGAGACCTTAGGGAGAGCTCTAGGCCCAGCACACCTGCCCCAGCCTTAGCCCAGGAACCCTGCCCTGTCGGGGAAGGAATGTGTGGAATGTTCCAGCAAAGAAGAGGTGAGTGGCACGGAGACCCTGGCCAGGTGAGGGACAGTGAGACCCTGGCCAGGTGAGGGGCACTAAGACCCCAGTGACCCCCAGGAGTGCTGTGGCCTGGAAGGAAGCAGAGGGGAGCTGGCCAGTGAGCTGCAGGCCTGCCCACACCTGTGGCCCTGCTGGGACCCCTGGGGGCTTGGGGAGGGCTCTCTGGGGCTGGTGGCCCCCCGGTTCGGGGAGGCGATGTTTTCACTTTCAGAGTTCCCACGAAAATGAGCTCGCATCCCTGGGGATTTTCTGCTTGACCAGCACCCCATGAGGCTGCCCCTGTGCAGCTGCCAGCCCAGCCCTCCCTGAGCGCCTTCCAGGGCCTGGCCCCAGGTCTGCAGGCAGGAGCCTCCCGTGCAGGCAGCACCTGAGAACTTTCAGGTTTATTAAGGCGGAGGTGATTGAGGAGTGAAGCGCAGGGGTTGGAGGTGATTTTGTCCCAGGTGGAGAGGGTCCTGAGCTTGGCAAGAAGGCAAAGGGCAGCTGCATGAGTGCACACATGGCTGGCACAGAGCACCAGCCTCCTGGGGCCCACCCCGGGCTCAAGCTCTCGAGTCAGGGACGCAGACGATGGGCAGAGCCGTCCTGGCATCAGGGGGCACCCAGACGGCTCCTCCTGACAGGCAGCCAGACTCTGCATGCAGGTTTGGCGGCACCGGCTCCGGGTTCTGGGCCCGCCTGGAGTACCCGCTCTGGCCAGGACCGGGTCAGTTCCCTGCTTCCGTGGGTGTGGGCCAGGGCTGGGCATGGGGGTGGTAAAGTTTGGGTGTCTTGAAGGAGAACACTGAGTCCTCCCAAGAGTCCCAGGCAGGACAGGACCTGGGTGGGGGCGAAACGGTGGGCATGGCTTCCCCCCGACGCTGTCCTCAACGCCTCAGGGCTTGGGAAACAGCTCAGCAAGGAGGAACTCAGGGCCCTGTCCCCGACTCCATCCTGAGGAACCGTCAGACATTGTGACGCTCGGCCAGCCTGGAGGTGGCATCAGAGGGACTGCCGTGAGCAGAGGGCACTGTGCAGAGATTCGAAGAGTCCGAGAGTCTGAGACCTGCCTGAGGGGAGGGGGCCCAGGGGACAGAGTCCGGGCCATGACCTTGACCTGAGGACTAAACACAGAGCAGGGGGAGGAAGGGCAGGGCCAGGACAGCAGAACCCATGTGAGGAAGAGGAGGGACGGGGCCGGGACGGCAGAACCCACACGAGGAAGAGGAGGGACGGGGCTGGGACGGCAGAACCCATGTGAGGAAGAGGAGGGACGGGGCCAGGACAGTAGAATCCATGTGAGGAAGAGGAGGACGGGGCTGGGATGGCAGAACCCACGTGAAGAAGAGGAGGACGGGGCCGGGACGGCAGGACCCACACGAGGAAGAGGAGGACAGGGCCGGGATGGCAGGACCCATGTGAGGAAGAGGAGGGACGGGGCCAGGACAGTAGAATCCATGTGAGGAAGAGGAGGACGGGGCTGGGACGGCAGGACCCACACGAGGAAGAGGAGATCCACCACCCCTGTGATGGGGACTGAGGGTCGGCCTCTCTAACAAGCCGCTGGTGATGGTGACGTGACGTGATGTGATGATGTGGAGCAGGGGCCACGGTGGGGGCGAGGGCTCAGCCTGCAGCAGGTAGATGCCTCTCCCAGGACAGAGAGGGCCGGCTGTTCCGGGTGTCTACTGCATCTGGGGACTTCCTAGCAGTGCCTCCCTCACCCAGTCCTGGGGAAAACTCAGCCCGCTGGCCCACCCGACCGCCAGCTGCTGATCCAATGCAGGAGGGAGCTCTGGGGGACGCTGGGCTCAGTGCCAGGCCTCGAGGCTCTGATTGCAAACTACGGGCTGCCCTGCCCTCCTAGGGCTGGGAGGTCATACTCTGGGTCCCGTCCTCCCTTCACTAGTGTGTGCTCCTGAGCCCGAGTCCTTCTGAGAGGAGGGATACGTTTCCCGGGATTATAGCCAGACGCTCCATCTAGTCAGGTGCACCTGGGCCACCTGCAGGAGGAGGCCCGTGGCCCCAGGAAGGCTCTCCCTGCGCTCACCCGTTTGGCATTTTCTCCGCATTGAAGTTATATTTTTGAACCACTAAAATACATGTGTTATTTGGGCTCAGCCCTGGTGTTGGAGTAAGAGCTTCTAAAAATAAACCCTTGCTAAGCTCCCACAGCAGAGCCTCCAAGCCGAGGCTCAGCGGGACCAGACGCTCACCATGTAAGGCTGCCGAGGGCCAGCTCTGAGCGCCATCCCCCTCTTCTCTCCCAGGTCCCCCCAGGCCAAGGTGTTGGTCGAATTCCTTCAAACCTTAGGGGAGATTCACAGGAAACAAGAGGGAGTCTGGACCCCAGGTCGAAACGGGCCAGGAGCAGCCAGGTGGCCGTGCGGCCCCACGTCCAGCCGCAGGCCAGTGGCAGGGCAGACCTTGGCTCTCAGAGAGCATCTCGAGCCTGGACAGAGCCTTATAAGGCGCTCCCGGGGCCATGACACACACTCCAAGAATAGCCTCCAGGCTTTGTCTTCTGACGGGCTGGCGCCAGGGTCCCGCAGAGAGTGCCCGGCAGCCAACCAGGGGCCAGTCAGGCACATGGACACCGGCCTCCTTCCTGCCAACCCGCTGGGCTGGGGTTTCCCGGGGCTGCGGGAAGGGAAGTGGAGGAAGGACACAGCCCCGCCTGGGCTCTCATCCTGGTGCTGACCCCACCTGGTCAGGCAGTGCCCACACGGGACCAGACTAGGACCCTTAACCTTTTCTACTGCATCTTGCTGGCCGGCGGGCGAAGCCTCTGTGCTCATGGAATGCCGTTTAAAATGCGTCATGTAACATACAGGACCCTCACCCAACCATACTGCCATGCGGCAATAAAACATTTTAACTGTGTTGATGGCATACATGTGAATTAAGTCTGGCTGCCACCACTGTCCTCTCCGTCCAGCTTCACAAGTGGCCGAGCTCCTGCAGGAAGGCCAGCCCCACGGCGTCTCTGGGTATTGCCAACCAGCCATCTGGCGGGTTCCCTGCGGAGTCAGGGCCATTCCTCAGGCCTATCCACCTGACCTGCTGCCTGCACACAGGCCTCACACCCTCATTCACACTCACGTATGCTCCATCCTGACTCCAGCAGCCCTTCCCCCTCGGGGCCCAGGTGCCCCTTCCTGTCTCCCTCGTGCCTGAGGAGGGACCAGCATCTGGTGCCCTTTGACCTTGGCCTGGTTCTGAAGTGAATCACCCGGAAGGAAGGCGCTTGTCCTCCCGGACCCAGGTCTGCAACAGTTATGACCACGCCCATCCCAGTGGCCCTGCCAGACAGCAGGGCGGCCAGTCCACCTCCACGTAATGGGCCCCAGTCCTGGAGCACAGCCTAGGAGAACTGCCAGGCTCCCAGAGCACGGCCAGCAGAGCAGACAGACACAGGGCCAGGGCAGGAAGGGGCAGGACGGGAGTGGGGGCAGGAGAAGAGGCCAGAGCGGGGCTGCAGAGGGGCCTGGCCTCACCCTGGAGCACGGCCTCAGGGGGGCTGTGACCTCCAGGTTCGTTGGGCCCTGGGTGGGGAAAGGCACCCTCCATGTCATGCGCGGTGCATGCAGGGGTCCCCGAGAGGCCTGGGCACCCAGGGACAGCCCCCACCTCAGCCCACGGCCTGGCCTGGCGGCCACTGCAGGACACCACAAGGCTAGTCCCAGGCTGTGGGAAGATGGCCCAGGTCTTGGTGGGGAAAGAACATCGGGCGAAGGGGCAGGAAAGGGGATGGAGCCCCTCTGGAGGAACCTGAAGCCCCTGGGGTGGGGCACATGGAGTTTCTCAGCCAGGGGAGTGGGGACCAGAGGAGTGGGGGGCCAGGGGAGTGGGGGGCCAGAGGAGTGGGGGCCAGGGGATTGGGGGTGGCCACCCAGGGGAGGGGAAGCCAGGAAAGTGGGGGCCAGAGGAGTGAGTGCCAGAGGAGTGGGGGCCAGGGGAGGGGGGGCGGCCACCCACATCCTGGGGACAGTGACTGACCTGGAGGTGGCGGGGGGGCGGGGTTTGATTTTTCACGAGTGGAGGAGCTTGGGGCCCCCAAGCGTGTGTTGGGGGGCACTTCCTGGTTCCTTGACCTCTTGCCTGTGGGCACCCAGCCCCTAGGACCAGCCTGGAGGTAACATCCAAATACGGTGGGATTCCCTGAAGGCCACAGGAATCCCCATAAGCCCTCTCCCAAGTACTCCCACCCTGAACCCTCTGAGCTGGCCTGAAGTTG